GAGTGATCACACCATTGTGATTATCTGGGTCATGAAGATCTTTTTTGTACAGTTCTTCTGTGTATTCTTGCCACCTCTTCTTAATATCTTCTGCTTCTGTTAGGTCCATACCATTTCTGTCCTTTATCGAGCCCATCTTTGCATGAAATGTTCCCTTGGTGTCTCTAATTTTCTTGAAGAGATCTCTAGTCTTTCCCATTCTGTTGTTTTCCTCTATTTCTTTGCATTGATCGCTGAGGAAGGCTTGAACATGTTAGTGACAGTTTTTCCGTGGAATGTTGATTTGGGGTTTAGTATCATATAGGAAATACAGATCAACGGAACAAGATAGAAAACCCCGAGTTAAACCCACATACCTACGGGCACCTTGTGTGTGTGTGTGTGTGTGTGTGTGTGTGTGTGTGTGCATGCATGCATGCGTGCTCAGTTGCAAAGTCATGTCCAACTCTTTGCCACCCCATGGACTGTAGCCTGACAGACTCCTCTATCCATGGGATTTTCCAGGCAAGAATACTGGAGGGGGTTGCTATTTCCTCTTCCAGGGAATCTTCCCAACCCAGGGATCAAAGCCGTGTCTCCTGCAGCTCCTGCATTGGCAGGTGGATTCCTTACCCCTGAGCCACCTGGGTGACAGAAGATGAAATGGTTAGATGGCATCACCGACTCAATGGACATAAATTTGAGCCAACTCCAGGACATAGTGGAGCATAGAAGAGCCCAGTGTGCTGCAGTCCATGGGGTCGCAAAGAGTCAGACACGACTTAGCAACTAAACAACAACAACAGTCATGTATGAAAAATCATTGCCAGCAGTGCAGGTGAGAGCACTGATGTATTAGCCAAGGAAGTGGCTCTGGATGAAGGCTGCCTCCCAGGGGTGTATTGTAAAAAGCATTGCTCTTCTAAGTCCGTCAGTGGTGGTCTTCCATGAGTGGGATGCCAAGAAGGAGACTTGTGTATATTAGAGTTGTCCTTCCAAGTTCCTGGTGTTTGTGGCCTCTGAGCACCTAGAACTCAGAGAGGATCTGAAGGAAGGATTCTTGTGGTTAGGCACTAAGGTGCCAGTAAGTAAAGGAGACATGTAGTATCATGTGTACTTGAGAGTTCAGACTCACAGACAAGCAAACAGGTTCAAATCCTGACTCTGCCACTTACTGGCTGTGTAACCTTGGGCTGGTTACTTGACCCTTCCAGGCTTTAGTTTGCTGAACTTGAATATTGGCGATGATAATTGTGTCCACTAACATGGTTATCAATTATAAATGATGCATATAAAGTACTCTGTGCCTAGTAAAAGTTAACCCTTATCATGGTTGCGATTTTCTTCTATCCCTCCTTATTGTTAGGAAAAGGAACGGAAATAAAAGAAAGCTCATAACTTGACTGGCTGGACCCAGAATTATGATCAAGACCTCCCACAGACTCTGCTGGTCTTCCTAGGAGGCAGAAGTTACATTTTTAGAACTAAGAATAGTTAGCCCTTATCCAAGGATTGTTACCAGGTTCTGCACTATCTAGGTTGATGAATGGAGATTCCAAACATTGAGATGGGGCTGGGAGTGGTGGGATTTTAACTCTTGTTCACTGGGGATAAACTCAGTATGGCTGGTACCATACAAAAGTGCTCCTGGGGGTGTTCACAAAGGCTTCAGTTGGCCCTGTTATCCCCACAACCCTTCCTTTGGCCCTCTGGCTAGGATAAGACATGCATTCCACACCCCCCACATGACTCCCTTTGGAGAAAGGAAGACCTGGATGATCTATGGGTGTTTTTCATCCTCAACTATCTGGGCTTAATCTCATGGTTACTGCACAGAATCCCTTAGAGACAGAATTAAGCCAAAGTTTTAAACACTTCAAATAAAATTACTTTCAGATTCTATTCTGAGAAAAGGTCTCTCAAAAGACCTTACTTCTTTTCTTTAAGAGAAACACTTGGATCTCTTGAAAGAGTTGGCTATTCAATATTTTTAAGTCATATTTTTATGGAAATTCCTTCCTCCCCCAAACATAAAAGAAATTAAAGTCAGAGCAGTCAATTTTAAAGCTAGAAAGAACTTAGGAGATCTTATAGTCTAGTGGTTCTTTAAAAAATTAAAGCCACAAAACCCTTTTTTTTCCATTGAAATGTTTCAATGAAGTCAGAAATCTAAAACAGAACGAATCAGAGTTATTTGGTGGAAGTGTGGGTAGGAGTCCCAGATTCCCAAATGGTTGGGTCTGTAGATCACCTGAGAAGCCCCTAAATCACATCCACAACATAGTTAAAGAACACGCTTTGAAAATCCCTGATCAGGTGTAGTTTCCCTGTTTCAGAAATGTGGAAATTGAGCCTAAAGAAAGAACTAGATTTGACCAGAATCATAAACTGATCTTCCAACACTTGGTCCATTTTTCCATTTCTGTACTTGGCAACACTTAGATGACCAGGCTTTTAAAATTTCCAGGCTCTCTACCCCCATTCCACCTGAGCCCTGGATTTGGTGCTGTCATTTACAATAAAATAAGGGGTGGGTGGAATCTGGAATCCACACTCTTCAGGGAACAAAAGCAATGGGCTTGATTCTCATCTCCATTTTTTGCATCTTAAATACCTTTTAGGGTGGTGGATATCTCAGTGCATTGCATGGAATAGTTCATTTCCATGGGCTTCCATATGAAACTTGGAAACCTAAGATACTATTTTTTGGTTTCTACTGTCATTTTTCAAGTTAACGTGGCATGTTGCCATGACCCTAGTTCAGGCCTTTATCATCTCAACCCTGGACTACTGTGGCAGCCTCCTTAACTGACATCCTTGCCTCCCATCCATCTCCTACTCCTATCCCTCCCAGACACTGTTGCCAGATTAACCTTCTCAAAACACCTCCTTCATCATTTCACTCCTCCCTTAAATGGCTCCTTATTGCCTTATGGACCAATTCCAAACCTTCCGTCTGAAAATTAAGTCTCCAACATCTGGCCCCAAACTACCTCTTGAGCTCCTGACACTCTCCACTTGGCCTCTCTGTTCAGTCAAACTGGTTCAGCTCTGTCTCTTAGCCTGCCTTGGCCTTGAGCACTGAACTCTTCCACCTTGATTCTGGATAGTTCCCTGACTGCCATGATTACTCTGGGTTCTCTGAACCCATCCAGACTCCAACCGTCTTCCAGACTAGGCCAGGAAATCACTGGTATACCACGAGCATTCACCTATTGTTAGCATTCATTTTATGATACCAATATTTCACTTTTTCTTCAGTGCTCAGCTTTCTTTATAGTCCAACTCTCTCATCCATGTATAAATCTATTGTTTTGCAGGCAGAAGACCCGGGTTTGATCCCTGGGTTGGGAAGAGCCCCTGGAGAAGGGAATGGCTCCCCATTCCAGTATTCTTTCCCAAACAAGTCCATGGACAGATGAGCCTAGTGGGCTACAGTCCATGGGGTTGCAAAGAGTTGAACATGACTGAGCAACTAACACACACATGATAAATATATGTTTCTTAACTTTTTAAGAAACCATCAAACTTTTTCTAAAAGGGCTGTATTTTACATTCCCAGCAGCATTACAGGAAGGCTCTAATTTTTCCACATCCTCACTTATGATAATAACACCTATTATTGTCATTTTGATTATGAAAATTCTAGTGAATATAGAGTGCTATTTCATTGTGGTTTTAATTTCCATGTTCTGTAATATAACATTTCATTTTAATAATGCATTTGGATTTCTTCTCATTATTTGATAACATCTCTTTGAGGTTAGGAATCGTCTTACACATCTTTGTCCCATAGCATTTAGCATCCCACCTCAAACCAAGTAGATACATAAGAATTATCTGATACTTGACATTAAAATATTATAATTAATTTGTAAAGGAAGGAGAAAAGAATTAGCATTAGTTGAATGTCATTTCTGTGTGTGAAGTTTTAAAATATATTATCATTGAATTCTCAGCCTTGCCAAATAAGTTATAAGAAGTAGAAACAGACTCAGAGTTTAAGTGACTTGCCAACTAGTGACAAGCAGTACTGAGTTGGAATTTAAACAGTGGACTCTATAACTCTAACTCTAAAGCCCAGACCATAAAAGTAAAAATAGGTGAAATGTCCACAGGAGACCTGAGACCAGAAAAGAGTGTGGCTACAATATGGATGTGTCTTTTCATACTGTAACATAATTAATTTCCCTCTTTCTCAGTTGCTATTGCTTTCCAAGCAATTTTTCTCATATTTTGGTGAGTTTGAGAGTCCATACAAAATCCATTAGCCTCCAGTTCTCCGCATTTACATGCATTTGGCCTTTCTTCCCCCACCAGTGTTCCACGAGCTGCGGGGAGGGCACCCAGACACGAAGTGCCGTTTGCCGGAAGGTGCTGAAAACCGGTGTCTCAGCAATTGTCAATTCCTCCCTGTGCCCGCCCCTGCCATTCTCTTCATCCATCAGGCCCTGTATGCTGGCCACCTGTGCAAGTGAGTACAGCAGTGCTCTGGGATGGGGAGAGAGCAAGAGCGGTAGCTTACCCTGAGCCCGAGAGCAGTGGGGATGGTCAGGCAGTAAACCTCAGAGGGCATCAGGCTGGTGATCTCAGCTAGAGATGGGAAAGGAATCTTAATTACATGTGGCCAGGCAGAAGGCTCTTCACTGGGGGAAAACCAGTTTACAGGAGGTAGGGCAAAATGCACTTGCTGGCATAGGGAGATCTGGAAGCTGGAGTCAGTATAGTACTAATGAAGTCTAATGTGACCCACTCCAGGATTTTACGCTAAACAGTGTGTTCTGTTTACTAGTAACCCCTAGAGGTATAACACTTCTGATGTCTTCTCTCCATGTATATGGGGGCCGTGATGCTCTGTAGGACCCAAAAGGGAGACATTCTCCTTCTCTTTGTCCTCTGCCTCTTTTTATGATTCTGATTTCTTTCTTTTTTGAAAAATTTTTTAAAATTATTTATTTTAATTGGAGGCTAATTACTTTACAATATTGTAGTAGTTTTTGCCATACATTGACATGAATCAGCCATGGGTGTACATGTGTCCCCCATCCTGAACCCACCTCCCTGCCCATCCCATCCCCCAGGGTTGTCCCAGTGCACCGGCTTTGAATGCCATTTCATGCATCAAACTTGGGCTACCGATCTATTTCACATATGGTAATATACATGTTTCAATGCTATTCTCTCAAATCATCCCACCCTCGCCTTCTCCCACAGAGTCTAAAAGTCTGTTCTTTATATCTGTGTCTCTTTTGCTGTCTCACATATAGGGTCATCATTACCATATTTCTAAATTCCATATATATGCATTCCATATATATACTGTATTGGTGTTTTTCTTTCTGACTTACTTCACTGTATAATAGGCTCCAGTTTCATCCATTTCATTAGAACTGATTCAAATGTGTTCTTTTTAATAGCTGAGTAGTATTTCTTTTTTTTAAAAAGTCCTTTTAAAGAGAGGAACTGTCTTTCTCCTGGAATCACCCTCCATCCAGAAACCTTCCTCTGTTTCTAGGGGTAGAAATCCCCAAGAGAGTGATAGGAGGTTGCGCAGCTGCATCTCCTTAGCTCTCCTGTGTTGATTGTGGCAGCAGCTTGATGGTCCACAGTTGGTAGCCAGCTCCTCCCATCAAACAAGTCAGGAAATGAAGGCCCTGGCCAAAGCAAACTCTGAAGCGCTTTCCCTCTCCTTTCTTTGGTCCTCCATCTCTCTTTCTTCCCTCCACCCTGACCTTTTCCCCTCTCTCTTGTCGCTGCGCCTCACTCTACCTTTTCTCCACTCTCTGCTTCTCTTTCTCCATCTGTCTGCTTCCGTTGCTTTCATTCCAGGGCCCGGGCGGCCATCCACAAAGCATAGTCCTCACATCGCGGCAGCAAGGAAGGTCTACATCCAGACGCGCCGGCAGAGGAAGCTGCACTTCGTGGTGGGGGGCTTCGCCTACTTGCTCCCCAAGACCGCGGTGGTGCTGCGCTGTCCCACGCGGCGCTTCCGCAAGCCCCTCATCACCTGGGAGAAGGACGGCCAGCACCTCATCAGCTCTGCCCACGTCACTGTGGCCCCCTTTGGGTACCTAAAGATCCACCGCCTCAAGCCCTCTGATGCGGGAATCTACACCTGCTCGGCCGGACCAGCCCGGGAGCAGTTTGTGATTAAGCTCATCGGAGGCAACAGGAAGTTGGTGGCCAGGCCCTTGAGCCTGAGGAGCGAGGAGGAGGCCCTCGCGGTGAGGAAGGCCAGCCCCAAGGAGGCCCTGCAGACGCACAAACACCAGAACGGCATCTTCTCCAACGGCAGCAAGGCCGAGAAGCGGGGCCTCCCCGCCGACACCGGGGGCCGCTATGACGACCTGGTCTCGCGGCTGCTGGAGCAGGGGGGCTGGCCGGGAGAGCTGCTGGCGTCGTGGGAGCTGCAGGGCTCCGCGGAGAGGAACGCGTCTTCAGAGGAGGACCAGAACGCGGAGCAGGCCCTCCTGCGTCTGCCCTTCACCATGGTGACGGAGCAGCAGCGCTTGGACGACATCCTCCGGAACCTCTCGCAGCAACCCGAGGAGCTCCGCGACGTCTACAGCAAGCATCTGGTGGCCCAGCTGGCGCAGGAGATCTTCCGCAGCCACCTGGAGCACCAGGACGCGCTCCTCAAGCCGTCAGAGCGGAGGGGCCCCCCGGTGGCCATCCCTCCCCATAAGCACGTGTCTGACTTCAGCAGCTTCTCCCGGATCTTGTCCACTGGGGAGGGCGGGGGCGGCTCCCGCCGGCCGTACCGCAAGCCTGTCATCCTGCGCAAGATCTCCGCCGCCCAGCAGCTCTCTGCCTCCGAGGTGGTCACCCACCTCGGGCAGACGGTGGCCCTGGCCAGCGGGACACTGAGCGTACTTCTGCACTGTGAGGCCATTGGCAACCCGAGGCCCACCATCAGCTGGTCCAGGAATGGAGAAGAGGTTCAGTTCAGCGACAGGTGAGTTCTGCAGTTACCTGGTCTGGGAAGACCTGCGGGGAAGGGGTCACCTTGTGCGGAAGGCACCCTGTTCATTCTTCTTTCAAGGTGTTTGCAAGGGTAGAGCTTAGAGTACTGGGCCTCAGGGACTGCTCTCATCCTGGGTTTCAAGCTCTCTCCATACTGATGAACTGTTAAAGCAAAGACAAAGTATTTAATTTCTCTAAACTGTATGCTCTCATCTTTGTAAGATAATAGTAAGAATACCTACAACCCTCAAACCCCATAGGATCGCTGAGATTAATGAGATTCTCTCCGGATAGCTCTGAACCTTTGGCAGGAAGCTATCATTCCAGACCAAAGCATTATAGCATTACCGTTTTTGTGAGATGAACCGCTGAAAAGCTTGTACACCAGGATACTGTCTCCGTGTGTGTGGTCCCCCAGGGTTGGGGACAGAGTGCAACCAGCACCTGCTGCTCCCAGTGGGTGAGCCCATCCTCTGTCTGTGCTGGACAAGGCTGTTTGTTCCAGAAAGCTGTTATTTCCAGTTGGATCTGTGATTAATTATCCTATTATTTCTTGGTGTCTCTGTTTTGATGTGCCTTTACTGGGATGACAGCATGCCTTTGCTGGTTTCCTTGGGCCATGGCCATTCATAATGTAGAATCAATAGTGATAGAAGAGGTAATAATAGTATTTTTTAGTACTACATGCGTGCCAAAAGCATGCCATGCTTCCTACTCACCTCCTCTGTAATCTTTATAAACAGCCTTGTCCAGCCCTGACAACAAATAGAGCTGGCATTGACTGAGTAGTAAGTGTCTTCCAGGCCGGTGTAAATGCTCTTTGTGCTTTATCTCACTGAATTCTAACAGCAGCCCTAAGAGGCAGTATAATTTTTATCCACACTTTACAGAAGAGAAAATCAAGCCTAGTAACTTACTAAAGATCACATTTATTAGGTGGCAGAGCCAAGATATGTGACAGAAATAAGAAAGGCAGCCAATGGAAGAATCATAGTCTATGGATGAGAGAGGAACTTTAAGGTCTGTGCTTCAGAGTTCTCGTTTTAACTTATTATCTTCACTGAGTTCATGAAGCATGCTCTTTTCATTAAATGTCCTTTTAAATACTATTGTTCAGTTAATCCTCTTTGCTGGCCTGCTTATGAGTAAGGAAGGAAAGAAGGCAAGATATATTATGTCAGGCAGTGTGCCAGGTTTATTTATATGTCATTACATTTGTTCTTCTGACAGTCAAGCCACTAGATTGACATTATCCTCCAGTTTCACATAGGAAATTGAGGTTCGGCAGCTCACTCACAGTCACACTTTAGGAAAGACCTGATTAAGGATTCAATATCAAGTTTATTGGATTCCAAAGAATAGTTCTGTCTGCTCTTCCAAAACTTGATGAACAAACATGACTTTGTCCATCCTGCCTACACCTTTTGTGTTTTTGAAATGTCGTCAATATTGCTTCTCAACCTGAGCTCTTACAGATCAAATAGCTTTAATAACAATACTAAGTATTTTCTCTGTGACACTCTGCTCAATGCTTTAAAGGTATTATCTTGCTTAATCTTAAAAAAAAAAAAAGCCTTATGAGATCAGTGCCATTATTGTTACAACATCAGTAATAAAAAAGCTAAGGCACAGTTGTTGGACCCACACAGAAGCCCTGAAGACAAGGATTGAATGCAGACAGTTTGTTCTGAGAGTCTATAATGGTAGCCTCTCCTCTTGTTTGCTTCTTGATCCTCAGCAGCATAGACTTTCCTTGATCAGCTTTTCTGCTATGATCCCTGCAGTTCTTTCCAGAAATCTTTGTAAGGAGTTTGTGGGTTAGGCTAAAGTTGCAGTAAATCCCATTGAGGTCATTGGGTCTCAGGGGGCAGCTCCAGCATCAGACCCCCAGAAGGATGGGTGCTGATTGAAAGTTGCACCCTGGTACTCAGGTGGGTGGTGCACTGGAACTGCCTCTGTCATTGCACCTGTCACACCTTTATGCCCAAATTGTGCCATGCCTGCCATCAGCCAGTCAGTTCCTATTTTATTCATATCCTCTGGGCCTGTTGCCTAAAACTGGTGTTACTGAGATCAAAGGGAGTAGCAGTTGGCTGTGTGAGGGAGAAGATGGGTATTAACATTTCTTGACTAACTCCAGCTACTGTATCCCCATGCCAGCAACTTCCACAGCCATCATCTCTTAATGTCCACTGCCCGGTATAACATACGAGCTGATAGCCCTATTTCAGAGATGAGGAAACCAAGGTTCACAGTAGTTAAGGAAGCTGACCCCTGTTAAATAGCTAGTAAATGGCAGAATCAAGAAAATAAATTCAAATTCAGTTCTGCCCAACACACGTTCATGCTGTTTTGAGTGACTAAGTTCATGTTTTCATGCATCTACTATATTTGACTCAGGATACCAAGTTGCCTCAAGACCCCTGCTGTTTTCTCCTAGCCTTTTCCAGAGTCCCTTCCTTTGAATAGTGACTACTTCCTCCTAAAGGGTGTACAATGATGCAGGCCACTGAGATGGGGAAGGGGATGATCAGAACTCTGTTCTGCCTGGAACTGCAGGGAGAATATTGAGGCCATGGCTTAGTCAGGGGTCCCAACAACTTCCTTGAGTTCTAGAGTTTATGAAATCCAAGGATCATGCCTCAATCTTGGTCACTGGTGACTGCAGGAAAAATTTGGGAGGAATTAGAAGGACTGAGGTCTTTGGGCTGGTCTTGCCAAGGCCCTTCACTTTCCATGGCCTTAGTCCCTTCATTTAAAAAGTGAGGGAGATTGTAGCAAATCATCTCTGATCTACCATCTTAATTCCTTGATAGAAGGTCACAGAAGGTTAAAACCCACATGTTGATGGAGAATGGGGAGAGCCTTGAGCATGTCACTTCAAAATTTGCCCTACAGGTTATCTTCCAAGTGGTTCATAGATAGAGGTTCATTGATTACATGAGTTTGGGATATGCTCGCTTAAAGTTAAACATATGTATTTACTGCTGGACTTTCTTCTATTTTTTAATATAGTATTTGATTTTTTCTTTTTTTATAAAAGTAGTGAAAAGGCTATAAAGCAATTCAAATAATACCTGAATCTATAAAGTAAAAATGCAGATCTCTTTCATGCCCCCAATTCTATTCCCCAGAGGCTGTCAGTATACACCCATTTGGAATTTTTGTATATTTTACTGTATTATATATTATATATGTCACATACACACATAAGATTTGTGTTTTTTTAATGCAATGTTATGTTTACAAATTTGACTTAATTTCTATTCAACAACATGTCTAGGAGACATTTCAGAATAGTATGTAGAGGTCAATGTCACCTTTTTTAACCACTGATTACTGGTCTTCAATGTATTTAACTAACCCTCAAGGGAAATTATTTTGGTTTTTCCATTTTGGTTTTCAACTCCTATAAGCATTCCAACATGTATAGCATGCAGTGTTTTCCAAGTATTTCTTTGACCAATGAATAATTTTTTGGTCTAATAATCTCAATGACATCAATAATTCTTAAAATACTACTTTTGCCTTTTAATTTTTACCTTATTGGACATTAGGAGTCTAATGGCTTTAAGATAAAGAAGAGTCAACAGAATCTTGCTAAAAAAAGAAATGTGGCAGCCAGTTGCTAAAGATGAAAAGTTGTAGGCCTAGGACAGAAGAGAGCAAATTCTAGGTCATGAGTCACCAGGACATTGGTGGGAACAGGGGATAACATTAAGAAGGAAAGCCCAGGAACTTACCTGTGCTTAAGGAATGTGCTCCCACTGGTTAAGACTTCTCTTTCCATTGCAGGTTGTGTGGGTTCGATCCCTGCTTGGGGAGCTAAGATCCTACATGCCTTGTGGCCAACAACACAAAGCATAAAACAGAAGCAATATTGTAACAAATTCAATAAAGACTTTTTAAAAAAAACATGGTCCACATTAAAAAGAAGAAAAACAAAAAACCACGTGGGGGTCATGAGCAGACAGTATTACAGTTTTTGCCACTATCAAGATATTTTTTCCAGATCTAGCCTTAACAGAACTTTTTTAATGCAAGTTAATGGCATGCAGTAGGGAAAAATAAGAGATTTCCGTTTCTGATCCTTGACATCATATTTTTTCCATTTTGCTTAGCTAGCCAGTAAGAAATATGGCTGGAGCTTAGTGTTTTATGCAGTTTTCCAAGTGCTGTTTGAGAAAATGAAATGGTTGCATCTGTACAGAACACACAGGAGGCACAGAAATGCCATTGGGACTGCTCTGCTGTGGCTGTTGGTGACCTCTTTTGTGTTGGGTTTCATTGCTTGTCATCATTCCTGTGTCTGGTAGCGCTTCAGAAGTGCTCATTTATTTTTAAACAGAGAAGTGCTGAAATGCTCAGTGTTATAGTCCAGTTAGTCTGTTTTTGCTTAGTACCCAAATCCATCTCTCTGAAAGAGTCTGCAAACTTCAGCCGGCTGTTGGTCTGAAGGACTTTGCAGATATATTCAAGTACACGCTGAATAGCCTGCACCACCAAGACAGTGACTGAAGTCTGTTATGTCTTGGCTTTTAAATATGCCAAAGCTTGACTTAAACTGGCTTTCAGAAAGAATCACTAACAATTCGGATACTACTGCATCTCATCAGGTGTATAACTTACTAGTTAAAAGGAATTCACATCATTCTTAGAAGCATATGTCAACTTCTTAAGCAATCATTTACAGGATGTCCCTCAGTGTATTAAAACATTCTAGTTCTTCCTAATTCCTACTTCTTCCTTTATTTCACATACGTTCCCATGCTTACTCTGAACCAGACCCCTTGTTAGATATGAGGGATGGAGGGAAAAGAGGCTCATTACCCGTGAGGGCAACTCAAAGCCTAGTTTGGAAACCAGAGAAGTAAATGCAGGGTGTAAATGCTAAGTGAAAGGAAGGCATATTTCTTTATCTCATAAGTATTCATCTATCTGTCATATACCAAAGACGCACCTACTTGCTGAGAATATTGTGGTGAATGAAAC